AGGAATAATGGACATTTGAGTTCATATTCACAATAATAATTAGTTTGTAAGTCATTATTTTCAATATTGTTTATAATAAGATGATTCTAAGTGTTCTAAATAAAAGGAAAAGAATACTTGTTAGACCGTCTTTGTTACAAATAACGAATACCAGGGCCCAATTAAGGTAAAATTTTGGTAAAAATCACTGATGATCACCTTTTAAAGCAGAAACGTCGGCCAATCATACTTAAGAGGTATATCGTTGAGAAGGGAATAAAGGGAGCTTTCTAAAAATGACATAAAAACTCCAGGTCCGTATTTAAAAAAATTAAGTTGGTGATGGCAGCTCTATCACGAAACATCAGATTTGAAATTTGAAGATGCTATGTTGTAGAGCGATAAAAATTATGAAACTTTCAAATTTAAATTGGTAATTGATGAAATATTTTTAGGCGTTTTTCGGAAATCACCCTGTATTTCATAAACTGAAAGGAATTTGGCAACACTGTAAACGAGTCTTGAATGGGCATCAAAAAAGGCAACTTTTTTCTAATTTAACCGACCTCGTATTTCATACCGTTTCAGAGATAGCAATAGTGGTATCACTTAAAACGGACACCCTGTATATTTCGCCAGTACATTAAAAAAGTTCTTATTATAAAGTAATTTGTTATCATGTATTTTGTTTTGTGCTTTTTTGGAATGTTGTTGGTTGGTAATATTTATATAGGGTGTCCCAGGGAAAACAGTCCACCCCGATTTATGGGATTTGGAATGAGAATCTGGAAAAACGCTCAGACATGTCGACTTTTGATTTGAGAGGGATGTATTTTTCAGTTTTTTTTATCCCCGTAGCTTTAACCCCCTGGCTAGTGGGGAAACAACTCCCCAAATTTGATAAGGGGATAGAGGTCGTGTCATACCTCTTTTTAAAGGTCTCATCGAGTTCTCTATGGCCCTTAGAATTTCGTCTTATTATTTTCATCCGTAAAGCAATGAGAGCTTGTCAAAATCTTGGAAATAGACTACTGTTTTAGTGGGAGTGAAAGCCATACTTACCTCCCTTAATAAAAATACTTGAAATTGAGGTTTTTTATTATTATTATTAATGAGGTATACACGAGAATTGTAAATTGTAAGTATTTTTATTAAGGGAGAGGATGCGCCTCAATGCCAAAATATTTTTTCCTGCGCGAAGCACCTAACGCAGTCTATCATTGTATTCTTCCGCTCCGATTAATACTCCTTAGTGGGAATGAGATGAATGAAACAAGGAATGCATTGCATTCTTAATTTCAACCTATTTTTTTAACAATTGAAGTTATATCAACTTTCTTTTTTGCATTCGATTTATAATATAGGGACGAATGGCGCTATCTTTTTAGAAATCCGATAATAGAAACAAGTTCTCGAAAAATTACAAAAATGTAATTTAAACTGAAAAAAAAAACCAGAAAGTTAATCAATTTATGGTGTTTTTTTTAGTTAGCGCCATTCTTATGTGGCGCAAACCAGAATTCCAAAAATTATCTAGTTTTTTTTTGTAGAAATTTAATTGATTCTTCTTGTCATTTTGTCTATCTCTGTTATGCCTGCAGCAAAACCCATGGCTCTTTCCTCCGCCTGTTTTTCTATACATTTTAAATCGCCGTGATGAAGGATCCAGTGCCGACCGGCTCAACAGTAGCCCAATGCAATGATCGCGATGAACCTCGCGTCTTTATTAGTATTAACTTATTGGGTAGTTGTATAGATCGACGTGCATTACAATATATTTTAAACGGCGCATTCAATCCCCTTAAGGTAGGTAAGTATCTACCGCTTTTACTCCTACTAAAACAAATAGTCTATTTCCAAGAGTTTGACAAGCTGTCTTCCCTTCCGTTACCGATGAAAATAATAAGACGAAATTCTAGGGTCATAAAGAACTCGATGAGACCTTTAAAAAGAGGTATGATACGACCCCTATCCCCTATTCAAATTTTGGGGATTGTTTCTCCCCCTAGCTAGGGGGTTGAATCTACGGGGATGGAAAAAACTGAAAAATATTTCCCTTAAATCAAAAATCGGCGTGTCCGAGCGTTGCGGTTTTCCATGTTCAATTTCAGTTTTTTTTTTATTAAGTAGTTCCTAAAAATTTTATGAATAGGTAGGCACATAACCCTTTAAACTTTTGTTTTCTACACGGTCGTGAGAGCCGAAACTGAATTTACGGCAATCGTTGATTTTGATCGGTTCAGAATCAGATCCCTTGATGCCAACTGATGTGTGTTTATCCGGATACTCGAAACGTATCGGCTAAGCACATAGTGGAGCGGCGAGCAGAGCGGAGAGCAGAGCATCAATTGAGCAGAGAGTGGATGAAAGAATTGTATGCACATAGTGGCGAGTCAATACTCGAGTGAAAAAGATAAAAATTAATAATTTGGTTTTAACTGAAACGTCGTCTTTAAAAGTTTGGTATTTGATGAGAAGACACAGAAAGAAAAAAAGAAGGTGTAGTGCACACCATATAAACAGAACTCAGAAGCAGAGTTCGATTAGGCGAATATCAGCAATTATATGAGGAATTACGGCAACATCCAGAAAAATTTCACTCTTATCTTCGAATGAATATTAAAACTTTTATTACATCTTGGAGAAAATAGAACAAAGATTGGTAAAAAATGGACTAACTTTAACATAAACCCAATTGGTCCAGCAGCAATCCATTATTATTGTAATACATTTTTCACCTGCTTTATTGTTGATTTCATTTCTCCTGCTACATCATCCCACAACTTATCTAATATGTATCGGTTATGATGTTGGGGATCCTTTTGGTCTCACAATGGAATTTTAACAAAAATACTACTTATTAATAAATTATTCAAAGTATATTTTTACAACACAGAGACAAACGAGCAAAGTAGAAAAATCAGGCTTGCTTGAACGCGTCGCTTTGCTCGATATTAACAGCGCTGCTAAACTCCGCACTGCTCCTCACTATGTGTCAAACAATTTAATCTCGTGTGTTACTTTTCGCTCCTTTGCTCTCCGCACTGCTCACTACTTTGCTTGTCGCTCCACTATGTGCTTATACCCTTTTACTCTGACTTATATTTTACGAGCCAATGGTCCCGCCAATTATGAATTGTTTTAAATTCATTATTTAAGTAGTTAGGTGTTCATAAATAAACTTTTTCCAGCTGAGAGACGTGACTTCTCACCGATCTCAACAGTTCACCGCCGCTGTGGTTAAAATTCATAAATAATTCATTAAATTAATGTCTCAGTTCACTAGCATCAGTGGCGCACCCAGGGGAGGGGCCATCGGGCCAGGGCCCCCCCAGGCCGCCCCTGCAAAACTTTATTTTTACGTAGGTATAAAAAAATGTGTCAAATTTTGGGCGTGGTACCCTGACGCCTCCATTTTTTTTTCTAGATTTTTAGTCACATGCCACAACCTATGTAGGGCCCCCTCCCCCCAAACATATTTTCTGGGTGCGCCACTGATCCTGGGAAAAAATCAAAAATCAGGCCATAATCTGTATTGTCAAAATATCACTTAATGTCTCTTAGGGATTGAAAAATCGTAGCTCCGCTATCTTTGGTTTTTTTCCTATCAAATTTTGGTATGTTGAAGGTAAAAGGCTACTGAATATATAAAAAAAATCTTTATTTTACAAAAATTCCCAGATTTCTAGGAAACAAAAACAAAAATCAGGCCATAGACTGTAAGGCAAAAATATCAGTCATTTCTTTTGGATTAAAAAAATTGTAACTCCACTATCTTTGATTGTTTTCCAATCAAATTTGGGTATTTTTGAACTTAAAGGCGTCTGGATATAGAATCTAATATCTCCAAAGTATCTTAGATTTCCAGGAAAAAAATCTAAAATCAGGACATAGTCTGTATTGTAAAAATATTACTTAATGTCTCATTGAGATTAAAAAATCGTAACTCCGCTATCTTTGGTTTTTTTTCCAATCAAATTTAAGTATGTTAAAGCTAAAAGGCTTCTGGAAATATAAAAAAAAAATCTTCATTCTCTAAAGTAGATATCCCAGATTTCCAGGAAAAAAATCCAAAATTAGGCCTTAGTCTGTATTGTAGAAATATCACTTAGTGTCTCTCTGGAATTAATAAAATCGTAACTCCGCTATCTTTGTTTTTTTTTTCTGATCAAATTTTATTATGTTAAAGCTAAAAGGCTTCTGGATACATGAAAAAATTCTTCATTTTCCAATGTTACCTAGATTTCCTGGAAAAAAATCAAAAATCAGACCATAATCTGTATTGTACCTATAAATATCACTTAGTGTCTCCTTGGGATTAAAAAAATCGTAATTCGGGTATCTTTGTTTTTTTTTCCAATTAAATTTCAGTATGTGAAAGCTAAAAAGCTTCTGGATATATAAAAAATTCTTCATTCTCCAAAGTATCCTAGATTTCTAGGAAAAAATCTAAAATCAGGCCATAGTCTGTATTGTAAAAATATCTCTCTGGGATTAAAAAATTCGTAACTCCGCTATCTTTGGTTTGTTTTTAATAAAATTTTAGTATGTTAAAGCTCAAAAGCTTCTGGATATTTCAAAAAAAAATCTATATTTTCCAAAGTTTCCCAGATTTCCTGGACAGTGAAGCATCCAGGGGGAACCATCGGGCCCAGGGTCCCCTCCCAGGCCGCCCCTCCCAAACTGTATTTTTACGTATAAACAAATGTGGTAAATTTTGGGCGTGGCACCCTGACACCTCAATTTTTTTTTTAGATTTTCAGTCACAAGCCACAACCTATGTAGGGCCCCCCCAAACATATTTTCTGGGTGCGCCACTGACTAGCATTGACAGTTAAGTATACACTTTTTTAATCTGTGTGCTGCTAAGAACCCGAGTAAAAACCACATCGAATTATAATAAACTGTTTTGGAAAACAAACCGTTGTAAAATTTAAATAATGCCACCCAGATCTTTCCGCAGTTAAGTTAGTCATCTTTGATTTCACCGTTTCTTATAATTACAGTTCAGTTAATCTTACCTTGATCCCAAAATTTTTCTTGAAGTATCCCCATCTGATTCGCTTCCATCGTCCCCTGCACGACTTATTGTTAGGATTGCTCCAAATATTCCAATTAAAAATGTCCACCTCATGCCAGTTTATTATTTGTGCTAAAAAAAGAAAAAAAAATCTTAGTGCACTAATTAACCTCAAATCCGAGAATTTTTCTCATGGAATATTAAAAATTGAAGTCAACGTCGGAAATATTATCTTGAATAATAATTATCTTTCCCATCGACCATAACGAAGAAATTTTCCACTTATAACTTAGTCTTTTGCCTGAAAATGACAATATTTAAAGCCACAAAAAAGCCCGTTTGTCAAGCTAGACTGCCCGTAATCGGTCAAATACCACGGTTATTTCTTTTTACAAGCATCAACACCGATAATTATCTGAGAATGGACCAAGTTCATAAATTACAATAACCGATTTGTCCACTCGTGTGTGAAACTATGGTCCATGTACCGCTTGTTGTTTGTTACATTCGGCTATAGCGAATTATGTGAAAAATTGCACTTTAGCATTACTTCAGCTTATCAGTACCTATATCTCAGTCGAGTCACGAAATAATCCGACTAATAAAATCAGAAATCTTCAAAGAAACAGCAACAATCTAAAATAAATATGAACAATATGTGGGAATTTTTCCTAATATTGTAAAAAAATAATTTTGAAAGCACAATCAAGCTCTAGGATTATTTAATAGCGACATTCTATTATATCACTTGAATGAATATTGTAGACTAAAACCAGGTTACGATAGTATACATTTTGCAATGCATTAATTGGTTGAATGAGATGAAACAACGATTTTTCCAACAAACAATGAATTCTATCTGAACAATATGTGCCTACAAATGAAACATTTCAATAATACTTTTACCCGGAGTGCAAGTAGGTTAGTTGAGTCCTCTCTATTTTAATTTTTTAAATATTCAATGTAGGACGTTGAAATGTGTAGGGGGAAATTAATTTAATTTGTGATTTAATAAACTTAATTGGTATAAAAAAATTAGAATTTGAGAGGCCTATAGGATAAAAAATGATGGCCGGCTATAATGATTAGAATTTGCTACCGTCCGCTGTGCTTAATTTTCTAACCATTTTTCTCTTCTTTTTCATTACTTTTTGCCAATTTTGTCGCTATAATTTGTGGTTCTTCAGTAAATTTGATAGTTATACTCTTCTGAAATATATACTTTTTTCAAACTCTATTGCATGTGAAAAAGTACCTACCTACTAAATTTAGACTGAGAATGATGAAAATTTAATTTTTTTCTTAATCTCTATTACCATGTCTAATTGAACCTAGTCATTTCACTGTAATTTGTACCTATTTCTTTGAGAGGCAAAATTTTGTTGAGATACTAACCTTAATTGGCCCAGTAATCAGCATTATAGAGCATGTCCAATTTGTCCTTTAAAACGTTAAGAAAACCGTGCAAAGAAGTTCTGGAAAAATCGGAATAAGGTATAATTACCTACTAAAGTGTTGCGAAATATCTTGAACGAATTGCAAATGCAATTTATAGTTCAAACCTTACAATTATTTATTTCTATGGAATGTTAAAATGCAATTAATGTAGCATCAGGACATTACATTTACGAAATATTTTAATTGCGAAGGGATTTTGAATGTTGAATGATTATAAAATTGCTTTAAGTAATTTTATATTAGATTCCTTGTTAAAATATAATTGGCCTGAAAGTGAGTGGTAAAATAAATAAATCATCACTTTTTTAGTCACTGAATTAGTAGACTTTTATCGCTTTATCGCTTTTTGGAAATAAAATTAATACCTGAATATTTATCCATTCATCTTGTATGAAAAGTTAGTATTTATTCAAGGCGTAACTGCAAATGATCCATTTCGTTGAGTGTCAAAAAACTATGACACTATTTTATCGAAATATCATTTTGCCAAAACATTGTGGAAAGTGAGGTACCTACTTTAACCTACATTCAAGACTAGCCTCAAAAAAGTATATAGCACCTAACTGACCACAAATGGCTAAATAGTGGTTTCTACAGAGTGGCAAAAAACTCGCGAATAATACCTGAAACTTTTTAATTACCTCGTATACGAAGAAATGACCTTAATGAAAGTTGCTCAGTAAATTATTTCCCGCTTTTCTACCTAGACGAATTATTTTTGTCACTTCCGGTATGTTTGCTATCCAGAACAACTTTGTTTTTTCAAATGAAACACCCTGTATGTGATTGCATATCTGGATTCTGCTGAGAAAACTATGATTTTTTTTAATTTAATATTTTCAGCTATTTTCAACTGTTTCCGAGATAATGACAGCTGAAAAATTAAAATTTTCCTAATTAACTTAAGAATTTTAAAGTTCTAATACATACCAGTTGTGTCAAGGTGTTTTTATGACAGTGAAATAAGAGGTGTCAATGTTGAGTCCCTGATTAATTTTCTGTCGAGTATTTCTTAATTTGCTTGCACTATGGCTCATCTCAATGAAAAACGACGAATTGAAATTTTAATAATGAGCGATTACGGAAATATGAAGAGATCTCAACATCAGGTTTGTCAACTTTTCATATATAATATCACAAGAGAAAAAATGTTGTCGGTAAAATTTTCGAAAGGTATGAAAGTTTGTTGCTTGGCCTGACGGCTCGTGATTTTGTCAAAAATGTCATGAGCGAAATTGCCGAAAAGCAACAAACTTGAATAAAACCTTGAGAACAATTTTGCCTACACAATTGTTTCTGGAGTGGTATTTGTCATGACTATTTCACGTAAGATTTTGAAAATAAATAGAATGCAAAAATATGAATAAAAACTTCAAATTAAAAATATCAGTTTGACAATGTCAAAAAATGGTCGCTGAAATATCATGTTGTTGGTATTGTCCAGGTAGCAATATTGTCAGCTGAACACCGAATTTATTGTCGAATGTCTTAGACAAGAGGTTTCCGGATTACCGGATAATACTTTTAGCTGTCACGAAACGCGTTACGCAGCAACACCACGACTCCGAAGGAGGAGTGGTGTTGCTGGTAACGCGTTGAGTGTCAGGTAAAAGTATCAGGTAATCCTGAAACATCGAGTGGTATTCAGAAGGTTATACAACGAGCTAAACTTCAATACTTTATAAATTTTTATTGGCAAATGAACAATATTGCCACCAAGCGCGATAATCCCAAAAGGCTTATCACTTATTAAGCCTCTCGTGTCATATGGGAATAATGTACAGTGAGTTGTATAACCGGTGTAATACACTCTAGTGAAATAGTCGGGGATAATACCACGAGAGCTTCAAAATTATCTGGTTCATTTTAAACCTCAAGTGGTAATTAGAGGATTATTTCACGTATGAGAATGCAAAAAATATGGAAACAAATATGTATTAAACGATTGGAACATCTCAACAATCAATGCAAATAAATGGTTGCTATCAGGAACCGTTTGTTTGTATCAAAAATTATCATGACAACCATGTATACAATAACATGGGAGAATTATCGCTGTAATTCTCTCTAGTTAAACAAATGGAAAAGAGAATTTTCGCTGTAATTCTGAAAATCGTCACTTGTCTTATGGGATTTCTAACACATGAGTGGAATAATCAATGAAATATATCCGAATAGGCCTCGAATAAATCAGTCAACTGTGTGTCGAGTGCTGAAAAAATTTCAGATAGTGTTAAGGAGGCTGCTAGATCAGGTCGACTTAAAACAGCAACCAAAGCTTTGGATATGATGCTCTAAAAACAAGAAACTCCAACACAATCGTCTAGGACATTGGCAATGGATTTTGATGACTCTCATCAATCAGTAAAAAACTTGTTCAAAAAGCAGAAGTAACATCCCTATAAGATAAAGTTGGTACATGAGTTGAACGAGGACGATTTTGATAGAAGAACTGAATTTTGTGAGCTGATGATGGAAATATGCAATAACGATAATAACTTCGCAACAAACATAATTTTCTTGGATGAAGCTACTTTCCATTTAAACGGCGTTGTAAATAGACACAATTATCGTTATTAATCAGCTGAGAATACTTAATGACTCCAGGTAAGTTCATACTCAGAGGCCCGGAAAAGTTAATGTTTGGGCGGGCAGTTGGAAGACATATTGTGGGACCTTTTTTCATAGATGGTAATTTGAATGCCGTACATTATCCTCAACGATCACATAATTCCTTCTTGCAGAATGGTTTAAGCGGGTATAAATAATAGAGTGAACGAACAGGTATGGTTCCAGCAAGATAGAGCACCTGATGCGCATTATGCGGCAAATGTTAGGCAACACATAGGTAAACGAACAATTTTCAGCACGTTAGATAGGTAGAAGAGGTCCTGTTGAGTGGCCAGCGCGATCCCCGAACCTAACCCTGCTCGACTTCTTTTTGTGGGGATATTTGAAGAACAAATTCTACGTTAACGTCCACATGACATAGAATCTTTAAAAGTCAGAATTATTGCTGAAATTCGGGCCATTACTTTTAAACGTTGTAGACGGGTTCAGGGATCGGCTGGAGCTCTGCTTAGCAGAAAATGGTGGTCATCTCGAATACCTGATCCACTGAAAATATTTAATTTTCTAGGCTATTTATTTTATTATAAAGATTGTTACTAAAATTGACTTAATCGTTGTTAATTGTCATTATCTCGGAAACAGTTGCAAACAGGCTGAACATTTTAGATACAGTTGGTCTGGATAGCAAACAAACCACAAGTGACAGAAACAATTCGTCTAGGTAGAAATGTGACGTATAGTCATGTTGACCCATCCGAAGTTCCATCCTGACCCAAGCCGCCATTTTGATTTTGTTGTTTATATATATTGTTTGCTTTTGTTTATGCAAAATTATTGATTTTTCAGATATTGCATGTGGGGTATCGATTTCGACTAATTAGAGGTCAAGAATCTCGATTAATAGCATAAGAACTCGTTTCCGCGCTTTTTTAATACTTTCGTGAAACAAATTATTCGATTATTTAATTTTATAATGCTATGCGCCGCTCTTATGTGAAGTAACGACAATAGGAATGTTCACTATTTTTCAATTGTAATAAAAAGTGGTGGTTCTAGGTCCACAAAACACGTATTAAGCATTAAAACATCTGATCTGATAAATCGAAAAGAAAAAACCGAAATTAGCGAGGCTAGCAAACAACCCTCTGCGGCGAGAGTAGCGCTTGTGACGTCACTATGCGGAACTAACAATCAACTGGTGCGTTAGCGAGATTTGTTTACAAGTTTACAGCTCTATTCCAACCCGCGACATGAGAACCGTTCTCGAATGGTAATTTCCAGTTGCCCACCTATTTTTCGATAAGTTGAACGTTCATCCTAATTGACAGA